ACGGCCCCTGCTGGGCCCAGGACGGCCCTAGGAGGCGCAACAGGAAGGGCCCAAGACGACTCCAAGGCGGCCCCCTCACGGTCCCAGACGGCTCCAAGACAGCCCCACGAGGACCCCGATGGGCCCAGGACGGCCTACGGACGCGCCCATGAGGGGCCCACGACGAACCAAGACGGCCCCATCAGGGCAAACGGCGCCCTCAAGACGGGCCTAGACGGCTCCAAGACGGCCCTTTGAGGGAGCCAACGCGGCCCCACACCCTTCGGGCGCACACTTGGGGGGGCTGGGAGCTTGCGACAAGTCTCCCACATTCATTGTCCTGCCCCATTCTGTTCGCCTGGAGGCCTCCTCCAACCCTGTGGGCGAACAAGAGGAATCCCAGCGGGACGCCAACCCTGGGGCCCGTGGGCCCCGCGCCGCTTGGGCAGAAGACGAACGCCGGGTCTGACAGGCCAGCTACCGCCCCCCTTTGCCCGATATGCTGTGCCATTCTGTTCCCCCAGGGGCCTTGGCAAACTCTTCGGGCCAAGCAGACCGGACCCCTGGGACAGCAGCCAATTGATATGACCCTGGGACCTCTCCGCATTCTTCGGACGAGCACCTGGGGGGCCCAGGAGATTCGGACAAGTCTTCCCATTCCTTGCCCTGTCCCGTTCTGTTCGCCCGAAGGCCTCCACAGACCCTCTGGGCGAACATAATGGGACATGGCGAACAAACCCTCCCGTTGGCGGTGATGCGACTGGATCGCACCATCAAGGCGCGCCAGGAGGTGATGGCCGACCCAACAGCGGTTTCTCTAAAGATTTCTACAGAATTTCAAATTTTCTTGAAGCTCTCTTGGGCCCTCCCTGAAGATCCTTGCGAGCCTCCCCGGCGCTTTCGGTGGCTTTCCCCGATGGCCTCCCGAGCCCTTCCCCGAGCGCTCCTGAGACGCCTCAGATGGGCTTCGACTTCGACGCACATCCTCGAGAGACTTCGAAACTGTCCTCAATAGGAGGGGGGTGAACGAGCAGTGCGCTGGGCCAAGCTGCTGGAGCGCTGCAAGAGCTCGGACACGAAGGCGCGGTCTCGCTGCCGCCGCCCGAGCCGCCGCCGTTTTCGGTACAATCTGCGCCGTTCCTCCGAGAACCATTCCAGAAAGATGTCGTGGACGGAGTCCACGGGTCAGCCCTAGTCAGCTACAATGCTGGGATCAGCGCGTGCGAGAAGGGCCAGCAGTGGCAGCCGGCGCTGGCTTTGCTGAGTGAGTTGCGGGAGGCGAAGCTGGAGCCCGACGTCATCTCTTCTACAATGCAGCGCCTCCTGCATGCCAGAAGGGCTTGTGTCAAAATGGGTGTTTCCGGGGCTCTGGCAGGCCCGAGCCAAACACAAAAGGGCCCCAAGACTGTCCAAGAGGGTCTGGGACGACTCCAGGCGGTTCAAGAGGTCGTAGTTATTGCTTGCAAACTGCCCAAAAGGGTCCCAAGATGGCCCAAGAGGGCTCTGCAAGGCCCCCTACGTTCTCGCCTTTTCTGGGTTCCGACGCTCCAAGACGGCCTGAGATTCCCCCAACATCGCCTCAAGGCAGACGGCCCAGCAGGCCCCCAAGAGGGCCACTGGACAGCCCAAGACGGCCGCAAGACCGCCGCACGACGGCCGAGGAGGCCCCCACCAGCCCATGACAGCTCCAAAAATTACCCAAGAGAGACCCAAAGGGGGAGCTCGAACTGACATTTCGCACCCTCCGCCCCAAGAAGACGACCCCCGAGACCGCCAGCCCTGCAATACGTATCAAATAATAAGGCGTTTAGATACGATCGCGCCCTGGTTCAGGCGAGAAGCCTATCGTATCTACTTTTCTGCAACGGCGACAATCGATATACATATATATATATATATATATATATGTGCCTTGTAGGATGCGCGCTACCGGCCATCACGGGAGCGTCGCCGTATCTACATGCATTTGTGTTTCACGCATATCTACAACACTGAGACCGCATCTATTGTTCGTCAAGATCGTCTAGATCCGTATCTAATGTCCAAAGAATAGCATTACCGCGCCGTATCTATTCGCATCCAAGTTTGTCAGAACGGATGCTGTTGGCTGTGCGTTCGGAGCGAACGGGATCTATGATACTGGTCGAAGAAATGAGCATTGTGATGGGGATTGTTTGAAGCCGTAGCGATGAGGAGTGAGGAGACGAGCGGCGACGACAAAGACGACGAGGAGCAGGATGGATAACATCGATGAATCGACATTCAGGATATAACTGGGAAGAAACAGGGAACCGTAGGAGGGGGAGAGCAAAGAGGAGGATGAGGCGGAGGACGAGGACGAGGAGGATGCGTCAAATCGAACGTGGAGGGGATGGTGCGAGCAAGGAAAAGAGAAGATGAGCACCGAGGAGGGCGGATGAGGAGGACCCAAGAGGAGTGAGGAACGATTATGGTCGATCGCGGGCGGGCGCAGAGGAGTCGAGGGACGACCGCGATGGCGGTAATGGGGGTGACGAGGAGGAGCATGAGGGTGATCATCGCGGGGAGTGCCGAGGATGTTGACGAAAACGTGGAGTCAAACATGGGACTCCAGAGGGCGAAATTGGGAGGAGTACGGAGGTGTAGGGGGAGGAGGAGGAGGAGGAGGAGGAGGAGGAGGAGGAGGAGGAGCAGGAGGAGCAGGGAGCAGGAGGAGGAGGACAAATGTGAGGACAAATCAGAGGCGTGTGGGGGATATTCATTTCGATGAGGGTGCATAAGGATCATGATGTACAGGCATGGGGAGGAATGATTCGGACGATGAGCGCGGACGAGGAGGAAGATGAGCGTCATATTGAACTGTAGATGGTGAACATGTGTTCCAGCGATGGGCGCCATCTTGAACTGTAGCTAAACATACCTAAATATATCGACTCGTGTCTGGAAATGTCTCGTACCTGAAAATAGTAATAAGACATATCTCCCGTGTCTGTTCATTTTAAAACAGTAAGCAATCGTATATAAACGTCTCTACGTTTGCAATGTATCCACTCGTCAGAGTGAGGGGGCCGAACGGTCTTTCATTGTTCCTGGGTGCGTGGCTGAAGTGGAAACCCGTAGTGAGGATTCTGCTTGTTGTTGTTGTCGTCGTCCCCCCAGCGACCCACCCGCGACCCGCCCCGCGACCCACCCCGCGACCCACCCCGCGACCCGCCCGCGACCCAATCCGCGACCCACCCGCGACCCATCCCGCGACCCACCCGCGACCCTTTTGCGACCCACCCCGCGACCCATCCCACGACCCACCCCGCGACCCACCCCGCGACCCATCTGCGACCTACCCGCGACCCACCCGCGACCCTTTTGTGACCCGCCCGCGACCCATCCCGCAACCCACCTGCGACTCACCCACGACCCACACGCGACCGATTCACATTGGGTTGAAGGAAAAATCGGCGCCCGCGGCGGGCTCGGTGTATGATTTGTGAAACTTTGGCGCCTGCGGCGGGGTTCTCTAGAGTCTCGCCGACTGCCGACGTCCCCACCGCCCCCTCACTCTTATCCGCATCTGCGGGATGCTACGTATCTAATTTTCCGGATGAAGACGCTGTAAGACACAGATGATTCAGGGAGGAATGTTAGATATCGTGCGGCCCTTCCAGATGCAGCTGCCGCTGGGGAAATGAGCAAGCCCCGACGAAAATGTTCAGATATGTCTTCCTGGGAGCGGGCCCCCAAGAGGACCCCCCAGAAGTCCCGGGAGGCTTCAGAGGCCCGAGTCAGGCGCCGGGCGGCCCCCGGAGGCCTCGAGACACAGCCAACGCAGCCTCGAAGAGGCTTCCGGGGGAGGGTCCAGTCGAAAGCTCTGGTGCCGTGCCCGCCAACCAAGAGAGCCCCATGACCGTCCCAACAGGAGACCAGACGTTCGGCCGCAGGCGCGCCGGGGCCATTGAGACAGTCCTGCGCTGGCCTCGTCCCCTGCCTCCCCACCTCGCTCCTCGCTCCTCGCCGCCCTCGCCTCGCTGCCTTGCCTCTCTCTCTCTTTCTCTCTCCTCGCTCCTTGCTCCTCTCTTCTGCCTTTTCCTCGCTCCTCGCACCTTTCTCCTGGCCCCACGCCTCTCTCTCTCCCTCTCTCTTTTTTTTTGTTCTCTCTCTCTCTCTCTCTATATATCTCTCTGTCTCTTTTTTTTTTTCTCTCTCTCTCTCTCTCTCTCTCTCTTTCCGCGGCGCCAGCACAAAGCGGGAAACCGCACACCTCGCACCCGGCACGTAGCAACGATTGTAACTGAAAGCGCACCACTCACCACCCGCCCACATGCTTCGCCAAGACTGTCCCTCCACATCCGTTGTTCGAGCCTGCTTCCCAGAACCCTTCGGACGCCTCATGCGACGATCCACCCGTGGACACGATGAGCAAACGGCGAACACGGGTCGAAGCTTTGCTTACGCCGCAGCTCCTCCTCCTGTGCCCTTCGGAACCTAGCAACCCCACAGCAACGCCCGAAACGCCAAACTCGACGCACTGGATCGCAAACCGCATGCCATGTCGCACCGCACGTAAACGCGCCGACATCTCCACAACATCCCACCAAAACCCGAGCACACATCCACGCACCCACAGTGACCGCACAACAGGCATGCTCGCATGGTCGGCATGCTCACCCTCAACTTTTCCGCACCCCGCATCCAACGCAGTCCGCCAACCAAAAGCCGAAGCGGTCGCCCAGATATTGTGGCCTCTTCTCTGCCCCGCCTGCGCTCTACCCCTTCCGAGGCGGTGGTCGAGTTCCCTCGTGATCTTGGCTGCCACCGAGCAAATGAGCAACGACAATGCAACCAAGCAAGCAAGCAGGCAAACTGGAAGGCATGGGATTAGGAACGCTGGCCAGAATGCAAACATACGCAGTTAGTATAGAATTGTTTGGGCAGCAGGCTAGCAGCCATGCGCACAGGGCAGCGCGCAAGCATGACAGCAGGCAAACGATTTCCACCCCTCCGTGCGAATCAGTTGTCGTGGACGTGAGTCCACGTGTCCGCTGTAGTCAGCTACGTCGCTGCTACCTGCGCGTGTGAGAGATGCGGCCAGTGGCGGCATGCGCTGTCGCTGCTCAGCGACATGCGGGAGTGCAATGTGGAGACGAACGACATCATTTACAACGTGTGCACCAAAGCGTATGAGAGGTCGTCTCGCAACTTGGCAGGATTTCCAGGCTATCGTGGGATTGGTCTTTCGCGTTTTCGCGTGTCTTGCGAAGCATTGTGCGTGTGAGAACTTGTTGGGCAAGCATTGTGATACGTGAACGGACATCCGTATAGTGAATTTGACAGCGGCTTCAATCGCGCAGGAAGTTGCTTCGGATAACACTGCACAGATCCGCCCTGGTTGGCTACAGCGTTGAGGTCAGCATTTGTGAGAAAAGAGAGAGGCGTGCAGTGAAAGCGGGGTGTTGATTGCGAAGTTGGAGCCCAATATCGACAGCTGCTCAGCGAGTTGCGAGGTGCGATGTCGGAGCCCAGGGTCATCTGTACCAATTCTGAGCGAATCGCGTGTCACGTATGATCGCAGTGTACTAGCTCCCGAGCTCCCGACACTTGGCCAGGACGCTCCAAGGACGCCATAAGCGGCTCGCAAGATCCAGTGCCCCGCACGAGGGCCCAGTTGAATTTACGACACTCCAAAGAGGGTCCACGGTGCCCGAACGGGTCCGCGATTGCGCCACGATGCATTGGAGGGAACCCGAAGCCGCTTCTCAAGCCTCCCTCCGCGCTTTACTCACTTTGCTCCTCGCTCCTCGCCTTTCTCCTTGATCCTCGCTGAGCCCTCGTTTCTCCCACCTCCATCCTCGAACCTGACTCCTCGCTTCTTGCTCTTCGCTTCTCCCTCCTCGTTCCCTTCGCGAGAGGCGGGTTGCGTCAGCCAAGTGGCATGAGCGCAGAGAAGCAGCACCCTGCAGGCTGAGAAGCAGAAGTAGCGAACAGCAGCAGCACGCAGCCCTCCGCAAGCACCACCAGCGGCAGCACAGAAGCAGCAAGTAGCAGCAGCATGGAACAGGCAGCAGTAGCAGCAGCATCCTGCAGCCGCAACCAGCAACAGCAGAGCCGAAGCTCGGGCCCAGCGTCATCATGAAAGCCCTCCCGCAACAGCTGCGCCCCGAGCCAGCGTGCCATCTCGGACAAACTTCGAGGCCAGCATGCCACGGGTCAGCACTGCTCTCTTCTACAATGCCGGAACCTCTGCGTGCGAGAAGGTACGGTGCGTCAGTGGCGGCTTTTTCCCTCCAGGAGGCCCGGGAGGCCGAAACGCGTCCCTGGGGCAGCCTCCACAGCCTTGTGGGATACACGGGCCAACGGAGCTCTCAGAGGCAGCCGAAGAGGCGCCAAGGACGACCGCAGCGGCTCAGGAGGCTCCCAAGGCGACCCGAGAAAGATCCACGAGGGCCCCCAAGACAGCCTCGAAAGGCAGACATTGTTTCATTCGCTGGGGAAGTTTGCAATTTCTGGAAGACGACCCAAGAAAGATCCACAAGGGCCCCCGAGGCAGGCCCGAAAGGCAAACATTGTTTTATTCGCTGGGGGGGGGGGGACAATTTCTGGCCTGGTAACTCCTGTCTTCGCAGCGTTCCGGCAGGCTTTGGAGGCTCCCTGGGCTCCCCCAAGACAGCCTCAGAGGTTCCCACGAGAGCCCCCAGACGGCCCAAAAGGGCCCCAGGACGGCCCAAGAGACGCCCAGGACGGCCCACGAGTGCCCCAAGAGGCCCCCTAAGAGGGGGTGCTCGAAGTGACGTTTTGCGGCCTCTGCTTCAGGAGGGCCCAAGAAGTCGCCAGCAGGCCCTCCGAGGGGCCCCCCAGGAGGCCCCCAGGACTTTCAACTCAGGCCCCGAGAGGCCCCAGGACACCCCAAGAGCAGCCTGGAAGAGGCTTTCGAGGGACGTTCCGCAGGGAGCTCTGTGACCGTGCCGACCACCCAAGAGAGCCCCATAGATGAACGACTGAGACCGGATGTTCGGTTACGCGCGCGCCGAGGCCATGGCGACGTGCGTGTGCTGGCTTCTTCTCATGCCTCCTTTCTCGGTCCTTGCTCCTCGCTGCACGCGCATCTCTCCTCCCCTCTCTCTTCTCGCCCCTCGCCTCCCTCGCCTCGCTTCTGGCTTCTCTGCGCTCGCTCGACCTCGCTCCTTCCACCTCTCTCTTCTGCCCCCCCGCTTCTCCCTCCTGGCTACTGGCGCGGGCCTCCCCTCTCCTCTTCGACTCTCCCTCTGTGCTTCCTCGCATCTTTTGTTGTTCTCTCTCTCTCTCTCTCTCTTTCCGCGGCCGTCGCTCCCCCCTTCTCGCACCGTGCTCCTCGCTGATCGCTCCTCGATTTCCCCACCTCCCCCCCTCGGCCCTGACTCATCGCTCCTTGCTACTCACTCCGCGCTCACTCACGAGCTCCAGGTTGCGTTAGCTGGCAAGGATTCTAAGACGCAGCACTCTGCAGCCTCAAGCAGCAACAGCGAGCAGCAACATTCCGCAGCAGGCAACGGCGGTACAGCAACAGTAGGCAGCAGCAAGAACGTTCCGCGGGCACAGGCAAGCTGCATCTGCACGCAACAACAGCAGAGCCGAAGTTCGGGCTCAATGCCATCATGAAAGCCTTTCGGCTACATCTCTGCCCTGGTCTAACGTGCCATCTCGGACTTGTGCCGTGGGCATTAGGCCACGGGCCAGCCCCAGTCAGCTACAGCGCTGGGATCAGCGCGTGCGAGAAGGGCGAGCACTGGCAGCGGGCGCTGGCGCTCCTTAGCGAGATGTGGGAAGTGAAGCTGGAGGCTAACGTCATCAGCTACAACGCTGGGATCAGCGCGTGCGAGAAGGGCAAGCAATGGCAGCTGGCGCTGGCGCTGCTGAGCGAGATGTGGGTGGTGAAGCTGGAGCCCAACGTCATCAGCCACAACGCTGGGATCAGCGCGTGCGAGAAGGGCAAGCAGTGGCAGTGGGCGCTGGCGCTGCTGAGCGAGATGTGGGAGGCGAAGCTGGAGCCCAATGCCATCAGCAACAGCCTCGGGATCAGCGCGTGCGAGAAGGGCGAGCAGTGGCAGCTGGCGCTGGCGCTGTTGAGCGAGATGTGAGAAATGAAGCTGGAGCCCAACGTCATCTTCTCTACAATGCAGGGACCCGTGCGTGCGGGAAGTGTCCCTGTCTTGATGGAGCGAAAATGCCCCACAACGGCTCCGGGGACGCCCCAGAGGCGCTCACGCGCGGCCCCAGAGGCGCCCAGGACGGCCCCCGACACCCCCAAAACGGCCAAAGAGCGCTCCAAGAGAGCTCCAGACCGCCGAAAACGGCCCCGACAAGGCCCAGGAGGCCTCCACGACGGCCCCAGAGACGCTCAAGAGGCGTCCCAGGATGGCCCCCACAGGCCCAAATCATTGTTTTTCCAACGAAGAGCGTACAATTTTAGCACACACTGCTTGTCGGGAGTATGGCGCAGAAGATGGGAGAAGAGGTCCCTACGACCGCCCCAAGACGGCCCAAGACGCCCCCCAGAGGCACGAAAACCGGCCCGCGAGAGCGTCAAGAGACCCACGAGGCGCCCAACACGGCCCCCAGGCGGCCCCAAAAGGCTCCCAGGAGGCGCCCAGGACGGCCCCCCACACACCCACAAGACGGCCCAAGAGCGCTCCAGGAGAGCCCAAGACCGCCGAAAACACACCCAATACGGCCCAGGAGGCCTCCACGACGGCCCCAGAGACGCCCAAGAGGCGTCCAAGGATGGCCCCCAGAGACAAAAATCCTTGTTTTCCCTAAGAAAAACGCTCACATCCAGCATGCGCTGCTTGACGGGAATATGGCGCAGAAGCTGGTTCCAGGTCCCAACGACCGCCCCAAGACGGCCCAAGAGGCCCCCAAGACGCACGAAAACCGGCCCGAGAGGGCGTCAAGAGAGCCCAAGAGGCGCCCAAAACGGCCCCAGGGCGACACCAAGAGGCTCCCAGGACGGCACAAGGTATCCCCAAGACGCTCCAAGAGCGCTCCACGATAAGCCAAAACTGCCTTGTGCAGTGCCAAGACGGCCCCAGAGACGCCTCTACGACGGCCCAAGAGACGCCGAAGAGGCTTCCCAGGAGGGCCCCAGGAGGCCACAATTATCGCTTTCCCGACGGAAGCCGTACACGTGTCAGCATCTCCGGCTTTCCGGGTTTCATGGCGTAGGCGACGGCCCAGGAGGCCCCCAACACCGCCCCAAGACGGCCCAGGAGGCTCCCACAGGGGATCCACACCGGCCCGACGGAGCGTCAAGACATGTAGCCGAAGAGCCGCCCAAGACGGCCCGGCAGGGCCGCAATACGGCCCCCAGAGCTTCCAAACACGGCCCAAGGTTCCCCCAAGACGGCCCCAGAGCGCTCCAAGAGAGCTCGAAACCGCCGAAAACGGCCCCGACAAGGCCCAGGAGGCCTCCACGACGGCCCCAGATACGCCCAAGAGGCGCCACCGCGTTCCTGCCTGGAGGCCTGCTTGCTTGCATCCCTCGCCCGCCTCCACCTCCAGCGGCCACCTCCTCCATCTACGCCGTCCCTTTCCAACCACTCCTTACCCGCGAGGCCCCAAAGACGCTCCACTTCCACGTCCACGCCATGGCGGGCAGATTCCGCGGCTGGAAGGCCGCGGGTCAGCCCTAGTTAGCTACAATGCTGGGATCAGTGCGTGCGAAAAGGGCGAGCAGTGGCAGCGGGCTCTGGCGCTTCCGAGCGAGATGTGGGAGGCCAAGCTGGAGCCCGACGTCATCAGCTACAGTGCTGCGATCAGTGCGTGCGAGAAGGGCGAGCAGTGGCAGCGGGCCCTGGCGCTGCTGAGCGAGATGAGGGAGGCAAAGCTGGAGCCCGACGTCATCTCTACTACAATGCAGCGTTCACCGCTCGCCAAAGTGTAACGCAGTGGCAGCGGGCCGGCTCCTCCGGAGCCCTCCCCGGGCGCCCCAGCAAGCTCTGGTCGACTCCAGCGCGGCTCCGAGGCTGCCCCAGGCCGCTCCGAGACGCTCCGAGATGCCTCCCCGGAGGCGCCCTGGAAGCTCAGCAGCCTCCCCCTCGCGCCCACGATGGCCCAAGACACTCCAACACGCGCCGGCAGGAGCGTCTGAGAAGGGGAAAGAGAGGCAGTTCCTCTGGAAAACGAGCCACTTTCAAGTTCCTGCTGACGAGGTTCCCTGCCAGCTCCCGGTGCGTGCTTCTCCCCGCGCCCTCGCGTTCTTTTCGGTTGCCTCGGGCCCCCTGTCCGGCCCTTCTGGTGCCTCGGGGCCCTCTTCCGGCCCTCCGCCGGGAGGACCTTCCCAAAGGAGCCCAAGAAAATCTCAGAACGCCGAGAGAGGCGTGGGAAGGCCCCACCACGGGCTGGGCACTGTTCGTTTTGAGCGCCCCTCAAAACGAACACCTGGAAGCTCTGTTTGGTTCCGTCCTGGCGCCCTCGAGGCCTCTCCCGAGACGGCCTTGAAAACGCGAGGAGCCCCCGAAAGGAGCCCAAGAAGATCTCCGGAATTCGAAGAGAGCCCCGAGAGAGGCCCAGGAAGACCCCGCGAGAGGCCGCTCTCTGTTCGTTTTGGGCGCCCCTCAAAACGAACACCATGAAGCTCTTTTTGGTTCCGTCCTGGCGCCCTCGAGGCCCTTACCGAGACGGCCTTGAAGCCGCGAGGAGCTTCCCAAAGGAGTCCAAGAAGATTTCAGGAACTTCGAAGAGAGCCCCGAGAGAGGCCTAGGATGACCCCGCGAGACTGGGCCCTGCCGACGCCTTCGACGCAACCGCATTTTTTGACGCCTTGCCGAAGGGTGTTGTCGCGCTGCGTTCCAAAGCTGCAGAGGGACAGGCGGGAGAACCCGAAGGAGAGGAAAATGAAGAGGAATATGAGGGACAGGATGAGGGGGACGAGGATGATCATGAGGGCACCGAGAAGGATGAGGCAGATGAGGAGGAGGAGGAGGAGGAGGAGGAGGAGGAGGACGAGGACGAGGACGAGGAGCAGGAGAAGGAGGAGGAGGAGGAGGAGGAGGAGGAGGAGGAGGAGGGAGGAGGAGGGAGGAGGAGGAGGAGGAGGAGGAGGAGGAGGAGGAGGAGGAGGAAGGAGGAGGAGGAGGAGGAGGGAGGAGGAGGAGCAGAGCAACAAGGATAATGAGGTGGATGGGAAGACATCCATGTTTTTTTCCCCCGGCTGCTCCATCGCGCCTCCGTTCCCAATGCGTTTTGCACATGGCCCGACCGAGCCTCCTCATCTTCCCATGCTCCCCAATCAGGCGGCGCTCAAGCTGCTCGGCGACATGTGGAAGGCGAACCTGACGCCATCCATCGTGATCGCCTGACGGCAGCGCCCCATCACTTCGCAAGTGGACGTAGTCCACGGGTACACCGTACTCTCTACTACAATTCCGGGCGAAGCGCGCGCGAGAAGGTCAGGCAGTGGCAGCGCCCCGGGCCGCCCAGAGAGCTCGCGCGCCGCCGGGCCGCTGCCCGACGGGCCCGGGAGGCCCCCGGACCGCTGGCGGACTGATCCAGGATTCCCAGATCGCCCAAAGACGGCCTCAGGAGGTCCCGAAGACGGCCCAAGACGGTCCAAGAGTGGATCCGAGACTCTCAAAATGGCTTCAAGACGCCTTCAAGACGGCCCGGGACGCCTCCACGAGGCCCCCAGAGCGCTCGAAGTGTACGTCCAAGAGGGGCCGCAGAAGCCAAAACCGTTGATTCTCATATTTTTTCCGATGTTACTGGCGATCTCGCTTTTTCGGTTTTCCGACTTCCCAAGACTGCCCAAGAGGCCCCCCAGACCGTTCCGAGACGGCCCAAGAGGCCTTCAAGAAAACCCCAAGACGGCCCAAGAGGGCCCCAAGACGGCCTAGGGGTCGCCCGAGACAGCCCAAGAGAGCCCCAAGAAGGCCCCAAGAGAGGCCCAAGACAGGGACCCGGAACCGACAAATTTAGGCCTCCACCCCAAGAGGTCCCCAGGACGCCCCAAGACGCCCCACAGAAACGCCGGGACGCTCCCAAGACATCCCCAGGAGGCCCCAGGACGCCCCACAGAGGCTCCAAGAGGCTCCCCAGAGGCCGCCAAGCGCCCCAAAAGGCCCCCAAGAGGCCCCAGGACGCCCCCAAACTGCTATCAAGAAGCCCCCAAACTGTCTCCCAGAGGCTCCCGAGAGGCCACCCATGAAATCCCAACCAACATCCACGAAAACTCTTACCCATTACCCAGGCCCGCAGCGACATTGCCCGCAGGACACTACAGCAGGTTCGGAGCCCTACGTATCCCAGCACCCGCACCCTTGGCTGTATCGGGGGCCGCGCCGCTGCTCTCTCGGTTCTGCTGGCTTCGACCTGCCAGAGCTCTGAGCCGCTCCCCGACGCCCCCAGGACGCTCCTGGAGCGCTCCCCGACGGCCCCCGGACCCCCAAATCGCTCCAAGACGGCCCCAAAGACGCCCAAGAAAACCGAAGCCGATCCTGCCAGAGCCCCACGACGGCCTCGAAATGCCCCAGAGACGTGCCTCGAGGGCCCCGTGGACTATGCCTTGAGTTTGGGGTGATCGCGCACAGTCCCAGCGCGATTAGCAAAAACCCATTCCTTTTCACGCTTCCAGGTCAGTGCCCCCGGGGCTCCCCGACTGCTTTCTGAGATCGCTCCTGGACGTGGCCCCTTACACGTCGGCCCCACGCGTGGCCTCCAAACGGGACCCCCAAAGGCAACCCCCACACAAAGCCTCCGAAGGTCGCCCCTACCGCCCCAGTAAGGTTTTCCCCCGAACGTCAACCCCACGCGTAGCCCCCAGGCGCCCCCAAACGTGGCCCCAAGACATACAGCCCCCAACCATTGCCCCCAAACGTGACCGTCACATCTGCCCCCGAACCCCGCACCCTCAAACGCGACCGTCACATGTGCCCCCGAACCCCGCACGCGGCCCCCAAACATGGCCCCCAGCTGGGCCGCGAACGTTGCCCCCAATCATGACCCCCTGACGAGACCCCCCAACGTGGCCCTCAAACGAGGCCCCCCAACGTAACGCCCAACTCTGGCCCCCACGCGTCCACCCCCCACATCGAAGGTCTCGCGCACAGGGATTATGTAAGATCGTTCGGGCCCCCTTACCCTGATTGTGTCTGAAAACCTACATGTTTCTGCGAATCGCGCCCAGGCATCGCGCGATTAGCAAAAAACGCACGACTTTTGACGCTTCCAGCGCTTCCGACACGTGCGCGTTCGGGACCAACGCCTGGACCTGCGGGCCGTGGATTTTCCACGGGTTCACACTAGTCAGCTACAACGCTGGGATCAGCGCGTGCGAGAAGGGTGGGCAGTGGCATCGGGCGCTGGCGCTGTTGAGCGAGATGTGGGAGGTGAAGCTGGAACCCAACGTCATCTCTCCTACATGGCGGGCAGGGAGCGCGTGCCAGAAGAGCAGGCGGTCAAGTAGCTCGAATCGCTACGGCCCCACCGCGCGGTCGACTCGCCCACGAGGGGCCAAGGCTCGCATGCTCGGCACGCTCAGCTTCCGATCTCCCGCGCCCCGCACCCAGCGCTGTCCGCCGACCACCCGCCGAAGCGGTCGCCCAAGTATTATCTGGCCTCTGCGCTGCCCCGCCCGCGCACCACCCCTCTGGAGGCGGTGGCCGAGCACTTAGTGGGCCCTGGAAACGACACGGCCGTTTTTGTTACCGGTTCCGTCTTGCCGTTCTTGTTGCCGGTTCCGACGCCGTGGTTTTTACCGGCTCCGTCGCCGTTGTTGTACCGGTTCCGGCTCCCGTTCCAAGCCTGGAGCCGTTTTTGTTGCCGTTTCCGGTCGCCGTTGTTGCGCCGCCTTCATGTTCAAGGGGCACTTTTTCGGAAGCGGTGAAAAAACGGCCCTGCCGTTTCCGGGGCCACTGAGGCTGAGCATGCCGCGCGATCTTGGTCGGCACAGGGCAGGCGAGCAGGCGCCGAAGCAAGCAGGCAGGCAGGCAAGCAGGCAAGCCGGCAGGCAGGGGGTGGGGGATGCTGGCCAGCGTGCAGACAGGGACGCCTTGTATTCCGCTTCTTATATTTTTATAAGCCCGGGCAGGGGGAAGACCCGTCCCTCCCCAACGAAAAAAAACAAGACTCCCGGGATCTGGGGCTTTGGGACCTTCCGGGCGGGCCTCGAAGCGGCCACCGGGCCTCGCAGGGCGTTTTGCCAAGCCTTCCCGGCACACCTAGGGCGATCAGGGGGGTCATCGGAGACGTCCCAGAGATTTCCAACACAGCACAAGAGCGCCCCACGAGTGACCGACGTGACCTCAAGATGGCCCAAGAGGCCTCCAGGACGGCCCCAAAGAGGCCTCCAAGAGCACTCCCAAGAAGGCCCCCCGAGGCAAAAAAGAATTGATTTTCTGTGGGTGTTTGGTGAATGTTAGGGTTCTCCTCTTTTCGGCTCCCCGACGCTCCAATACGGCGGTCTTCTGGGCGTCCGAAGCCGCCTGGGAGGCTCCCAAATCGCCCCCCAACCATCCGAAAGGGCTTCCAGGCAGTCCAAGAGAGCCCCAAAACGGCACAACACGGGTCCAAGATGGCCCTCAGAGAGCCCCATGGCGGCCCAAGATAGCCCAAAGACACCCTCCGAGGAATTCCAAATCGTGATTCGGTCGTTCAGGGAGACGGCGGTTGGAGGCAGGGTGGCCCGAGGAAGCCCCCGGAGGCCCCCAGAATACGCCCAGGAGGCCTCCAGAAGGCCTTAAGAAAGCCCGAAACAACTTTTGTGAGGCCCCTAGAGGCTCTCCAAGGAGGAGCCTCCGCAAAAAAGAGCTGAGGAGGATAGGGAGAATGCGCAGTGTATGGCGAAAATAAGGAACAATAAGCATGGAGGAAGGATAACGAAAAACATCATCATAGCGGCGATGCCGGAAAAGGCAACCAGGAGTTATCGCTAAATTGTCGGCTTGACCTTTCTGCTATTCCGCCTGCATACCAAACTTCAAGGACCAAGGTTCATGGCGCGAAGCGCCACTGCAGTCTTGTATAGATTCTCTTCCTATATTTTTATAAGCCCGGGCGGGGGGAAAACCCGTCACCCCCCCCCTCAAAACCGGACTCCCGGGACCTGGGGCTTTGGGACCCTCCAGACGGGCCTCGAAGCGGCCACCGGGCCTCGCAAGGCGTTTTGGCAAGCCTTCCCAGCAAACTTAGGACGATCAGGAGGGTGATCGGAGACGTCCCGGAGACCCCCAAGACAGCACGAGAGCGCTCCAAGAGTGACCGACGTGACCTCAAGATGGCCCAAGAGGCCTCCAGGACGGCCCAAAAGAGGCCTCCAAGAGCACTCCCAAGAAGGCCCCCCGAGGCAAACTGCATTGATTTTCTGTTGGTTTTTGGGTGAATTTTAGGGTTCTCCTCTTTTCGGCTTCCCGACGCTCCAAGACGGCGGTCTTCTGGGCGTCCGAAGCCGCCTGGGAGGCTCCCAAATCGCCCCCCAACCATCCGAAAGGGCTTCCAGGCAGTCCAAGAGAGCCCCAAAACGGCACAACACGGGTCCAAGATGGCCCTCAGAGAGCCCCATGGCGGCCCAAGATAGCCCAAAGACACCCTCCGAGGAATTCCAAATCGTGATTCGGTCGTTCAGGGAGACGGCGGTTGGAGGCAGGGTGGCCCGAGGAAGCCCCCGGAGGCCCCCAGAATACGCCCAGGAGGCCTCCAAAAGGCCTCAAGAAAGCCCGAAACAACTTTTGTGAGGCCCCTAGAGGCTCTCCAAGGAGGAGCCTCCGCAAAAAAGAGCTGAGGACTATAGGGAGAATGCGCAGTGTATGGCGAAAATAAGGAACAATAAGCATGGAGGAAGGATAACGAAAAACATCATCATAGCGGCGATGCCGGAAAAGTTGCAACCTGGAGTTATCGCTAAATTGTCGGCTTGACCTTCCTGCCATTCTGCCTGCATGCCAATCTTCAAGGACCAAGGTGCATGGCGCGAAGCGCCACTGCAGTCTTGTATATGTGTATATGTACATATATATATAGACATATGTATGGAGTTGCTTGGGCAGCAGGCTGGCAGCAATGCGCGCAGGGCAGCGCGCGAGCATGACAGCAGGGAAGCGGTTGCCACCCCTGTGTGCGAACCGGCTGTCGTGGACGTAATCATGTTCACGACTCTGCCGCAGTCAGCTACATCGCTGCGACTTGCGCGTGTGAGAGATGCGGCCAGTGGCGGCATGCGTTGTCGCTGCTCAGCGACATGCGGGAGTGCAATGTGGAAACGAGCGAAGTCAGTTACAGCTTGTGTATCACAGCCTACGAGAGGTCGTCTCGCAACTCTGCAGGGTTCCCAGGCTATCTTGTGATTGGTCTTTCGCGTTTTCGCGTGTCTTGCGAAGCATTGTGCGTGTGGGAACCTGCTGGGCAACCACTGTGACTACGTGGGCGGACATCCATATTTTGAATTTGCCAGCGGCTTCCATCGCGCGGGAATCTGCTTCGGATAACATTGCACGGATCCGCCCTGGTTGGCTACAGCAGTGATATCAGCACTTGTGAGAGAGAGAGAGACGTGCAGTGAACGCGGGTCATGCCGCTGCTTCGCGAGATATTGATTGCGACGTTGGAGTAACATATCGACAGCTGCTCAGCGAGTTGCGGGATGCGATGTCGGAGCTCAAGGCCATTTGTACCAATTCTGAGCGAATCGCGTGCCGAATGTGAACTCAGTGTCTTAGCCACATTGGCCCGGGATGTTCCAAGGACCCGGTGCTCTGCACGAGGGCCCCAGGTGAGCCCACGACACTCCAAAGAGGAGGGGAGGAGGAGGAGGAGGAGGAGGAGGAGGAGGAGGAGGAGGAGGAGGAGGAGGAGGAGGAGGAGGGTTCCACGATTGCCCCAAGGTGCCTCCGGGGGCCCCCGAGAGGCCGCTTCTCGGGCCTCCCTTCGCGCTTCGCTCTCATTGTTCCGCGCTCCTCGCCCTCCTCCCCGATCCTCGCCGAGCCCTCGTTCCTCCGAGCCCTCGAGCCTGCCTCCGCGTTCCCTGCTCTGCGGTCTTTCCCCTCCCTTCGATCCGCTCGCGAGCCGCAGGCGGCGCCAGCTATATGACCAGCAGGAGTGCAGAGAAGCGCCACCCTGCAGCCTCGACCGTCTGTTTTCCCACAGGCCTGGGCGATAGCGGCCTCGATCGGCCCTCTCCCCCCCCTCCATCCCGCCCCCCCCCCCATGGAGCACGTCTGCCACATTTGCAAAGATTTCCGACGGATTCTTCGATGAGTTCCTCAGACTTCTAGCGGCCCCCCGCCGTGGTGTGATCGGGGGGGACGAGCTCCCCGCCCCCCCCCGATCACGACCACCATCGCGACGAATCAGAAAAGCAGGCCCTGAGAAGCAGAAGCAGTGAGCAGCAGCAGCACGCAGCCCGCAGCAAGCACCGCCAGCGGGCAGCACAGAAGCAGCAAACGGCAAACAGCAGGCAGCACCACCCCGGAGCCGCAGGCAGCAGCGGCGGAGCCGAAGAGTTTCGGGCCTGGCCCGCCCGACCGCTCTGGTGGTTCGTCCCGCCTTCGGCTGGCCGCTCGAGGGTGGTGGGCTGCGGGGCTTGCCCAGTGCTAGGGCAGGGCCCTGGGGGGAACGCAGTGCCGCCGCGCATGCCAGGCCCGCACGGCGCCTCCCTTGGGCGCGGGCCAGAGAGGGGCGGCTGGGGGCCAGGTGGCACGGACGAGCATGCAGGCGTCCCCCCCCTGGGGCGTGGGCCCGCCGACCCCGACTGCGTTGGCCCTTGGGCACCTCGGGGTGGTGGCGCTCTCGCTGGGGCAGTCTCGGCCCCGAGGGGTCCTTCACCACTAGAGCAGTCCAGTGAGCAGTCCCCCCCTTTCATCCTCCTTCTCCCCCTCCTCCTCCCCCTCCCGCTCCCCCTCCTCCTCCTCCCTCCTCCTCCTCCTCCTCCTCCTCCTCCTCCTCCTCCTCCTCCTCCTCCTCCCGCTCCCCCTCCTTCCGTTGCCATTTTGGCTCAAGTCCGTCCCCTCCGTGGGATCTCGGGCTTGGGCCGAAATGAGTTCCACAGCTATTTCGCCCAAGGCCCCCTGGCCGAGCGCCGCGCCGCCAGCGTTTGAGGCCGTCGGATCCAGATGTCCACGCGATGGCGCCTGCTGCCTCTGCTGCTGACGCTGTTCGTCATGCCGCACCGCAGGAGAGCTGACGCTCTACATCGCCGCGCATGCCAAGCTGTGCAAGGCGGTCGCGGCCCAGCACGCGTTGGCCAGCGCCAGACTCTTCAACTACACGTTCTCCTTCCACACGTTGCTGCGCCTCCAGCCGCCTTGCGGGTGATCACTCCGCTGGGAACTTGCAGGGGCAACGAGCTGCCGCTGGTCGCGAACTTCCTGCAACTGATTCGCGGGCGTCCTCCTGACGTTGCCCATGGTCCTGAAGTTCGGCTTCACCGACGCGAAGAGGCAGATGATGCACCAGCCCATGATGATCCTGCTCGTGCTGCTGCCGCCGAGGGCCGCCATCTCCGCGACACCAATCCGTTCTTCTGCATGTGCAACCCGTTCATGAATCCGAAGTCCGCCGCCCGGTGGGTGGCCTGCCTGACCTCCTGCAAGCTGTTCCCGCTCCTGACGCTCGCGCTGACACTACCGTCGGCGCTGATGGTGTTCTGCATTCCCGACCCGTTCAACGATCCGAAGTCCGCCGACTTGCTGATGGCCTGCATGACCCACTTCTCGGCGTTCTCCCTGCTGGTGCTGGTGACGCTCCTGCTTACGTCGCTGGAGACGGCGCCCCTGATAGTGCTCTGCATGAAGCTGCCGCTGCTGAACCCCGTCGTCGTGCTGTTGGTGTGGCTCTTACTGCTCTACGTCCCCTTGTACGGGTGTTCGAGACCACCCTGTCCACGGAGAGCGACCAGTACGTCGGGGCGCCGTCCGCAGGCTCAGAGTGCAACACGGAATGCCCTATGACAGGCCATCCGAGTTCCACCCTTTCCAGGCCATCCAAGGTTGTTGGGACTGGAGAGCTTGACTATCCACAGGAAGCTCTGCATGATGTTGCTCGTGCCGCCCCACAGCCAGGAGTGGTTGTCGCTGCTCGTCCCGTCCGTCCCCCAGAAGAGCTGCATGATGTGGCTCGTGCCGTCCTGCCGCCTGGAGTGGCTGACGCGGCTCGTCTCGACCATCCCGAAGCAGCTCTGCTTCCTGCTCGTGCCGTTCCGGACGCCGGGAGTGGCTAGCGCTGCACATCACGACAACCACGAAGAAGCTCTGCACGTTGTTGCACGTGCCGTCCCGCCGCCTGGAGTGGCTGCTGCGGCTCGCCCCGACCACCCCCACGGAGTGGCGCATGATGATGCTCGTGCCGCTTTGCCGCCTCGTGTGGCTTCTGCTGCTCGTCAAGCCATTCCCGAAAAAACTCTGCATGCTGATGCGCGTGCCGTCCCGCCGCTTGGAGTGGCCGACGCGGATCGTCGTGACCATCCCGACGACGCCCTGCATGACTGGCCAGCTCCTGGCATGCCGTTCCTTCGCCGCTCGGACTTTCTGCAACTACGTGTCTGCAGTACGACTTTCGCTTGCAGTGTCGATGATCTGTTGCAGCGTGCTGCTGAGCGCCAGCATGATGATCGTGGATTCTCGCCGCTCGGAGTGGCGTCTGAGGCCCCCGCCCGCTTTTGTAGCAATGTGCCCCCCGCCCCGCTCGCCTCTTCCCGCTTGTCGCCCTTGTCTCTGCCTCCCATCCCCGCGTTTCCCGCATTTCAGCGCACGCACGAATGCACATCCGCTCTCCGCGTGTCTGGCCCCGCGCTCCACGCAGCGCGCGGGTTGCCTGTGCGCCTGAGCACCACCACAGCTCACGTATGGAAGTAGAGGGCGGCGGACTCGGGCGGGACTTCTTTCCTCTTCTCGCGTCGTGCCCGCTTGCCCTCGTCTCTTCCTCTTTGGGTACTTGCACTCCCGCTCCCCCTCCTTCTTCCTCCTCCTCCTCCTCCTCTTCGCCCTCCTCTCTCCTACCCATCCTTTCCCTCCTCATCCCGCTCCTCTCCTCCCCTCAGTCCTCCTCCGCCTCCCCCCTGTCCAGCCGCGCGCTTGCAGGTGTCGCTCTCCCAGGACGGCCACCCGTGCAACCTGAGCCTGACTCTCGAGGGGTACCAGGCGAGGGCGCCAGGGGCGCCCCCAACAGCACCCCACGGGAGAGACGAGGAAACGGAGGAGGAAGAGGAGGAGAGGGGGAATGGGAGGAGGAGGAGGAGGAGGAGGAGGAGGAGGCGGAGGAGGAGGAGGAGGAGGAGGAGGAGGATGAGGAGGAGGATGATGATGATGATGAGGAGGAGGAGGAGGAGGAGAAGGAGGAGGAGGAGGAGGAGGAGTGCGAGGAGAAAGGAGAGGGGACCCCTGTGTCGCTGGGCCTCTCCTTCTCAGGAAAGCAGGGAATGTGCAGCCCGATCGTCACCTCCTCTGTGCCTCGCCGAAGGTCGTGGGCAGCCGCGATGTTCGGCAAGAGCGGGCGGGGAAATATTCTCGCTCCTCATCTACCGCTGTGGCCCTCCCATCCCCCCCCACGGTCCGTGGCCCCCGCCCGGGCGCGCCCCATTTGCTCAGGGTTGGCATCGCGCGGGAGCGGTGCCCCTGCGGGCCCTTCGGGGCGGCACGCCAAAGGCGTGTCGCCAGTTGGTGGCAGTGCGCCCGCTGCCTCGGAAGTGTCAACGCTCGGCGCGCCAATGCGCGTTCCGCCGAGGTGTTTGGGTTCGCGTGCGCGCCCCTTGGTTGTGCCCTGCTCTGCGAGGCCGTGGGGTTGTATGGGGCTGTCGTCGTTGTTTTGGCTCACCATTCGCATGCTATGGGACCTTCGCTCGGAAGTTTCTCGGTTTTCTGCTGGCTGGGCTGTTTTTTTTTTGTGCATGACCAACCTTCTGCAATGAAGATCATTCGAAAGCAAAGACGTATTCCGCCAACGAAACACCTTTGTGCTTCGGGTGACGGCCTTGCAAAACGAGAGCCCACCTGTTCGTATTACTTCTCGTAGCTCCCAAAGTCCCCAGGCAAGGCTCGCCCAGGGTCTTGAGAGGGCCCAACGTAGTGTAGGCCTACTGACCTTTTCCGCCCTGGGAAAGAAACGTGAAGAGAGGAGAGGTTGGCGATGTGCGCTCGCGCCATATCTGACATTCTGCCCCTCCCACCCAATCCCTTCCCATTGCGCTGTTTTGTTGCTCAATCTGCCGATGCGTGTCGTAGCGGACCTGGGACTCCGAATGGGGACTTCGTCGTGTTGTGAGCAACCAGGACAATGGAGGTGACCATATTGGACGAGGAAGTGGCGGATGAGCGGGAGGAGCCGGAGGACTCGGAACAACGGGGGCAACACGCCGATCCGAAACAGAGGCCTGCGCTGAAACGGGAAGATCTTGTAAGCACGCCGAAGACAGACGGACTGCGCGGCACCATACGAACACGGAGAGGGCGGGGCAGCCTCGCAACAGAGTCAGGGTAGAGAGGAGAGTAGTACCTATATTGAGTAGTTGCAAAGAGGCAAGGTCGGCGCGCTCTGGCCATATCTCATGTCCTACCCCTTCCGCCCATCCCCGCCCATGGTGCTGATTCTTTTTTTGCGTATCCGCTGACGGGTGTCTTAGCGCACGCTGAGGTCCCCAAAGCACCCATGGGGTGAACGCAGGGGGACCGGGGGGAGAGACGGAGCAGGGGGAAGGAGCCGGGCGACGACGACGAGGAAGGACCCGCACTCCAGAAGTGCGATTTGCGCCGGGGCGAGGGCGCCAGTGTGAACGGTTCGACTACACGTAAGAGTGACCTTTCGCAAGATGACCTTCGGTGCGCGCCCACTGGACCCCCCCGATCGCCGAGTGCGGTGCGACAGCAGCGTATCTCGCGCGCTCGTGTTTGGCCACTTCGCGTCCCCCGTTCCGCCGCGCACCAAAGGTCACTATTGCATAGGGCCTTTCTTGCGTGTAGCCGAGCAAAGCGCCGATTCGGGAATAGGGTCAGCGCTGAAGTGGGAATGCCATCTGTGGAGCGTCGGAGACGTGCCGATGAGAGAAACACCGTGCGGAAATCAATTCTTACATTCGCACGTGGTGAAAACAACCTGCGGGAGAAGGCTGGACCCGCTCGCAGTGGATCCGGGGAGAGGGGGGCGGATTATTCCTAACAAGCTGGGCGCGCTCGTGCCAAACCTGACATCCAACCCCTCCCACCCATCCCTTCTCGTGGTGCTGTGTTTCTGTATCCGCCGACGCGTGTCATAGCAGACCTGGAACCCCAAAGAGGACCCCATCGTGCTATGCGCCATCGGAGAAAAACAGCAGCTGCGTACACCGAAGGAGAGGGAGGAAGCTGAGGAGGGCGAGGTGGCGGATGAACGAGAGGATGGGCGGGAGGAGGGGGAGGAGAATGTGGGAGGATGGGAAGGCGAGGACGGACAGCACCAGCATCGGGAGCGGGAGCGGAAGGATGGGGGAGGCGCAGGAAGACCGGGGGAAGGCTGAGGAGGGACATGTGGGGGAGGGGGGCGACAACGACGACAAAGGACTCGGACCCAGAAGAGTGGCCCGCGCTGGGAAGAGAACGCGGTTCTGATCGATGGGAGCAAGGCGCCGATCTCCGAATACCAGGCCCACGCTGCAGCGGGGACACACTTTGCACACAGCGAAGACATCCGGACTGCGCAAGACCACAAAAACGATGGTCGGGAGGACGAGCAGGAGGATGAGGAGGAGGAAGGGGGACCAGGATGGGGAGGACCAGTGGTAGCAGGAGCCGAGGTAGGAACGGGAAGGGCTGGAGGACCAGGGGGGGCGAAGAGGGGAGAAGGGGGGCGAGACCAACGGCGAGGGAGGACCCGGATCCGGAAGCGTGGCCCGCGCTGGGGCGAGAGCGCCATGCTGGACGACGGGGGGCACCGCACCGGTCCTGAGACGAGGCCACCGCTGCAGCGAGAGCAGGGTTCTGGAAGACCCAGCGCTCCGATTCGGACAAGCCGTGTGGAGTGCCAACGGTTCAGCCGGGGAGGAGGAGGAGGAGGAGGAGGAGGAGGAGGAGGAGGAGGAGGAGGAGGAGGTCACGCAGAGCCAGGGGAGAAGAGAGGAGCATGCTGATAGAGTGAATGGAATGGGGGGGCAGGTGCGCCGGCGCCCTGCCGGGCGTCCTGCTCCTCCCACGCCTCCTCCTCCTCCTCCTCCTGTTCCTCCTGCTCCTCCTCCTCCTCCTCCTTCTCCTCCTCCTTGCGCCGATTTTGCTGTACCTGCCGACGGGTGTCAAAGCGGACCTGGAAGCCCCAAGAGGACACCATCGAGCCCTGCGCAGTCAGAGCACGTGCGCAGTCAGAGCACGGATGAGCCGGAGGACTGGCGGGAGGGTAAAGAGGACAGAGGAGCGGCACAGGCCAGTCGCGCGCGCATGATTTGTAGCCGTACCCCGTCCACCCATCCCTTCCATTGCGTGAGCGTTTTCGCTATCCGCCGACGGGTGTCCTTGTGAACAAATGGCCCAATCGTGCGATGCGCAATGAGACAGAGAAGCTGTGTACACAGGGGACGAGGAGGAGAAGGAGGCGGAGGAGGATGTGGCGGAGAAGCAGGAGGAATAGCAGGATGGCGAGGAGGAGGAGGAGGAGGAATAGGAGGAGGAGGAGGAAGCAGGACGGAGATGAGGAGGATGAGGAGGAGGTGGAGCAGCATCCACAGCAGCAGCATGATCAGGAGCAGGAGGACCCGCAGGACCAGGAGGCCCAGTGGAAGGCGGAGAATGGGAAAGCAGGGGGCGACAATAACGGGGAAGGACCCGGATCCAGAAGAAGTGTGGCCTCCGCTGGGGCGAGATCGCCATTCTGGACCACCGTAGCAGAGCGCCGATCCTGAAATCGGACCACCGCTGCAGTGGGAACGCCATGTCGCAAGACCGAAGACAGCCTGAAAGGAAAGCGGCGAATGTGTCAACCAAGCGCAAGCCGAGAAGAGAGACAGGGAGACAGGGGGTCCCGCTCGGACAGGATCTTGGGAGGTAGGAGGTCGTGTTCCTTTGACGTTGGGGGCGGAGCCAGAGTGAAACGAAGACCCTACTTAGGGGGTTCTGTTTCGGGTTCGGTCGGTATCACCTGTGCGGGCGAGGCGAAGCAGGGCTTCTGCAGTAGTTCTGCCCAGGCCATGCCACACTGAGTCGCTTCATGGCGGGGTCCCGCGGCCTTCCCCATGTATGTTTTGCTGGTTGTCCCCATGGTCGTCCAGCCGGTTGTCCCGACGGTTGTCCAGCGGATTGATCCAATAGTTGTCCCGCTGGTTGTCTCAATGGCCGTTCCGATTTTCCCGACGCATGCTCCGATGCTCGTGTTGAGAGTTGTCACGAATGCTTGTTCCGACGGTTGTCCTTGTAGTTGTCCCGATGGTCGTCCCGATGGTTGTCCCGACAGTTGTCCCGATGGTTGTCAAGATGGTTGTCCCGCGCCGACGGTTGTCTTGTGGTTGTTCCGTGGTTGTCTTGCGCTTTACCCGTGAATGGTCCGCGGTTTGTCTTGCGGCTGTCTCGTGAGCGTCCTGTGGTTATTCGTTGTTTGTCCCATGGTGGTCCCGTGGTTGCCCTGCGGTTGCCCCGTGGTGTTCCTGTTGTTGTCCTCCCCTCCCACCTGCCCTCCCGCCCTCTTCGTCCTCCCGCCTGCGCGCTCGTCGTCCTCTGCCCGCTCCCTGGCCAAAGCAGGAGGGCGTATGCACCGATCCTGGGCTCAGGCTGGGCCTGTTCATGACTGGAGCATGTGCGTAGCTCTTTTCAGCTCGTTTTCCTCTACCTCTCTCTCTCTCTCTCGCCTCTCCTCCGACGTCGCACTCCTCCTGCGACCTGGGCCCGCCCTCCGATCGGCGCGGGCCCTCGCACCCCCCCTCCCCCAACCCCCCAACGGAGTAGATCTTGGCTGTTTTTTGGCGTCTGTGTCGAGCAGGTGGAGCCCCTCCCCCCTGGGAC